GTGGGGGGGGGGGGGGGGGGGAAGGGAGGGAGGGGAAGAACAGCATCACCAGATAGAAGTGGGGGAGGAAAGAGGTCCACAAGGAGGCGGCGGCGATGATGAGTGGGACAGCAGTGCGAGGACCAGTGAATACAAAGTCAAGGCAGGTTGGTCAACATTAGACAGCAGCAGGGTCAGGAGCTGCTCCTGCTTACAAGTTCTCAGGAAGATGCTTGAGTACACTTATTTGGCTTTGAACACTACAGATGGGAGGAACCCTTGGAGTGTCTGGTCTGTAGAGCACAGAGAAGTATGAGAGTATAAGGAAAGAAGAAGAAAGGCTTCAAAGGTAAGCAGGCCCAGACGCCTGAGTCAAAGGGCACTTCCTTGTATTTTGGTAAAGTAAAATGTGGAAATGAGTCAGGACGCAATCCACAGATTGGGACCATGCAAGCCTCTCATTAGTTGTACCCAGTGGACAGCCAGAATTCCAGAGGATGAGGCCAGAGCCTGAGAGTCCTGCTTCCAACCCACCTCCCCAAAACAGGCTTTAATAATCTAAATGAGCTGTCCAGCCCCAATCTCTTGGAAGGCATTTCCTGTAGATTCTACAGTGTAAAAGGTATTGACTTGGCTCTGGGATCCCCAGTGGAACTGATTTCTCCCCCTGGTTTTCCATATCAACACATCACCACAGGTTAAGATAGAGAAGGCAAGGGCTGACTGGGGATTCTTTGTGAGGGGCACCATTTACTGTGAAAAGGAGAATTGACAGATGACTGGAAAAGCATACCTGTGCCCTCCCTCTCCCTCCATTCACAGAAGCAGGGAAAATAAACTAGAGGACATGCATCATTGCTCAGGTGATCTCAGTCAGTGGCAGATGAGATCAGATTTGGGAGCCTCTTTGTGCCAAAGCCACCAAGCTATGCAAACCTTGGATGTTTGTTGTGGTCTTTGGTGGGCCGTGCTGAGCTGAACGAGTGAACACTGGAGCAAAGCGGGCCTTTCTTCTCAAAGAGTTTAATACCATTTGGAATCTAGGTAGGGATTTATTTTCAACAAATACAAAAATGAGTGTATGCAGTAGACCCCTTCTGAGAGCTACACCTCAAGGTTTAAAGATCTTGAAGATGGAGAGAAGACAGCTCCAATGTTCACTTTGTCAGAGGCTGGGACTTATGTCCCCTCTGTCAGTTAAAGCACTACTGGACTATGCTCCTAGAGGAAGAGGACGGCCTCCAGGGGCCTCCCATGCAAAGCCTAGGGGCTACAGAGAAACCAGATACCTACTGTTGGTCTTCATGCACATCTATCCTGCAGCACAATGTCAAAACAAGGACAACTGAAGAAATGTGTTTCTCACAAGAATGACACAAAAGGAAAACAGACGTCAATGCATTAGAGAGCCATTCCTTGCATCCACGTTCCACAACCCTTCCAACCTTCCCAAAGGCAGTGGGGAGAAAGGGTCCTGGCAGTCACCATGTGCATAAAGCTCTTGGGATGGGAAAATCCACTTTTCTGAACTGTTGAACCATTGAAAGGGATTCTGTGTGCTGGAGTTTCCTTGATGAAGTGGAGAGGAAGTGCCATTCATGTAGAGAAGGGCATCTAAGACATAGCTCTACCAGAGCCACTAGCCCTGTCTTGGAGCTCCCTACTTGGAACTCATACTCACCCAAGTGTCCTCTCCCCTCTTCTCCCACCTTCAAACCTCACAGGAAGTCAGGGGAGTCAGGAAGAGAGGACACAAAAAGGACCAGGGCTCATTATTTTTTAAGAAACATTCCACTTGTAGCACATAGAGAGTGTGTGTATGAGTGTGTGTGTGTGTGTGTGTGTGTGTGTGTGTGTGTGTGTGTGATATTCCTCTGTTGCACTCTAACTTTGTTTTTTGAGACACAATCACTGAATTTGGAGCTTACTATTGAGGCTAGACTGGCTGGCCAGCTATAGCGCCCCTATAAGTCTATAAGAGACAGGGGATCCACCTGTCTCCACTCCCCAGCACTGAGATTATAGGCAAGACTGTTGTACCTGGTTTTATGTGCAGATTTTATCCTCATGCTTGTGGGGCAAGCATTTTACTTGCTGACCTATCTTCTCAGTTCTCTAACTCGTATTTAAAATCATCTATTCTGACGACTGAACCAGAGACAGCACATTAAAAGACTATTTTCCTTCTTAGGAAGTAGATTTAAAAAAACGACAATGACAAAGAAAGCTTACCCATTTTTGAAATAGAGGACATGTGCTCTCTGAAGTCCTGTTTCTAGGAAAAAACCTAGTTCTTGATCGTGGGGAGCAGGGCCAGGCTTAGGGCTTCTGTTCTGAATATTAGTTAGTATTACCTAGAAGGGGAGAGAATTGGAAAACTAATCAAATACAGATCAATGCCTACTTCCTTCAAACCCTAGCTCCAAACACGCTGTAAGACTTGAACAACCAACATCGTCCAGCAAAGACAGGTACAGGGTCTGAGAGCAAGCATCAGCATCAAAGGATGCCTTCTACCACAGGGGCAGCTGGGCAGCCCTGCAACAGGCTGGCTCTGAGAGCCCAGAGCATGGTATCAGCAGAATCGTCAAACAGGAGTCTCTGCTAAATGCCAAGATGTTACCAGGGAGGCTGAGGGAATTAGGTCTTAGCAAAGAGCAGAAAGTTACTGTCTACCAATGGCTCTGGTCAGGTGGGTGGGCGGGCAGGCAGGCATACTCCTCCACCAAGAGTCAACAAGTGACACAACTGACACTAACTGTGGAATTCACCAAAAGACAAACTGCACGCTGCAGGGCTCAGGTCAGGAGACTGAATGGAGCTCATTTATCTTCAAAGAAAGAGGTGAAGAAATAACCCTCACTCCCTTTCCCCCTAAGCATGGCCTTGTGACACGGATACCTTGTGCCACAGATAACCAGGTTGAGATTAAAATCTTTAGTTCTGACAAAACAGAACAGGAAAGGCTGCCAACTCATCAAGTGAGAGACTTGTGATCTGGGTACAGAGTGAACTGTAAACACACATCAGCAAACAAAGCATGTCTCAGAGAGACAGACTCACCGCCACCGCACACTTGAGAAGCACACAGGTGCTCGGCAGACATGCCGCTCACAGTTCCTAGAAGACAGCAGCTCCATAAAAGATGCAAACCCACATATCCTAAAGGTTTTGAAACTACTCTCCAAAGGCGAATGAGGCAACTGCTGGCTCTAATCTACAAACTTTCTTCCAGGTACAAAGGAAAGAACGCACCACATGGAGAGCCAGCTGTTGGAGAACAAAATCCAGATGGTTGCATCTACACTACATCCCAGCCCCTTATCCAAAGTCCCTGGCTCCTTTCCACCTCTGTAGTGGTCCTTCCTGCAGGGACAGGCATGGCACCTCCACTCCACTGCAGGTTCCTCCTCCTTGTGTATGTCAAGTCATAGGCTCACACAGATGCATAGCGTCATGTCCTGAGTACTTAGCTTCTGTCTGTCTTGAGAGAACAGCAACCATTTCTATGAGTTTAAAAGCTCACTGGCATGTGACCAACTCCCCAGGTTAGTCACCGATCCAGGTCTTCCTTTGGTTTCCAGACTCAAGGAACAACTGTGCAACTTGGAGGTCCAACACTGAAACTTTCCAAATTACCCTTCATGTTCTTTTGGCAATGGCCTTTACTTTTGAAATGCTATATTATTCAAAAGTAAAAATAATTCAGTACAATCCAAAGGTAATTAAAAACTGCCTTACAGCCGGGCAGTGGTGGTGCACTCCTTTAATCCCAGCACTCGGGAGGCAGAGGCAGGCACATCTCTGTGAACCAGCCCGATCTACAAGAGCTAGTTCCAGGACAGCCTCCAAAGCCACAGAGAAACCCTGTCTCGAAAAAACAACAACAACAAAAAAAAACAAAACTGCCTTACAATTCTACCATAAAGTTATAACCCACGTAACACCTGCTGAGTAACAATACACACATCTCCACACACATATGTATTAAGTAAAGACACAATCATTTTACCTAAGAGGCCATCTTATAAATGCTAGCTTTCATAACTTGACAGAAGTAACTGAAGTAGTCATGGAATCAGAACTTTCTTTCCCAGTAGTGGGGGATCCAGATAAGCACTCCACCACCAAGTTACATTTCCTGCCTCAGAAAAATAATTTTGTTCACTTAATTCATTAAAAGTTCCACTAAAGTTAAACACTAAGTTTATTGTATCTATATGTACATTAGTATGTGTGTATAAAAACTATATACAAGGGAAAAGGGTAGATAATTATTTTTCACCTTTATATTTCAACTTTATATGGTAACTAATGGCAAATGGTACAGATGGTGAGATTAGTATATTCATGCTTTCTATTTTGATTTTTTCTTCATCTATTTTTATTATATTGCTATTTTTAGATTTAAGATTCCCAGTTTGTTATGTCACCATTTTTATATTGCTATGTAAATGTTTGATTGAGATAGATGGATAGATTGGTAGAGATAGTTGGATAGATGGATGGATTGAGAGATGGATGGACAGATAGATAGATAAATAGATAGACAGATAGGTCTATCTATCTATATAGATGGATAGATGACAGGTAGATGATAGTTGGGTGCCCATTTTTTTTGTTGCTTTGGCTGATTTTGGTGATGAAGATTGAAACCAGGTCCTTGCTTGCTTTACCACCAAGCAGCACTCATTCCTAAGTGCAGAGGTGACAACTGTGGCTTTATAGTAAGTTCAGAGGGTAGGAATGTATGCAGGGTTAGGACATACAGGTCTTTCAACTTGATTCATCAATTTCAAGACTTGTTTTGGCTGTTCTGGGTCACCTGAAATTTCACAGATTTCTGAACCAGCTTGTTATTTTTGTTTTTCTTCTTCAAAAAAGTAGATATTACTGAATTGACTTTGTGGATCAGTGTCCAGAAAGCTATCATTTTAACAGATTGAGCACTTCAACTCATGAGCATGAGATATCTTTTCAAATACTGAGGATTCCCTTTCTATTTAACCCCCCTTTTTTTCTTTTAGCTCATGTGTTTTTGTTACATACATTCCTAAGGATTTTAATCTTTTGTATTAGTGGAATGCTCTAATTTTAATTTTAGAATTTCTTGTTAGTGTATAGAAACATGTGACTTTGTGTACTAATCTTTTCATCCTATAACAATGCTGAATTAGTTTATTAGTTCCAACAGATTTGTGTACATGGATTTTATGTGTATATAATTGCATCATCTGACAGGGAATTTCTTTTTCTTCTTTCTTTCTTTTTTTTTTTTTTTTCAAGACAGGCTTTGGAGCCTGTTCTGGCACTCGTTCTGTAGACCAGGCTAGCTTTGGAACTCACAGAGCTCCAGCTGCCTCTGCCTCCTGAGTGCTGGGATTAAAGGCGTGCACCACCAACGCCCAGCCCCTGACAGGGAATTTCTAATCTAGATGTCCTTTATTGCTTTTGCTGGCCTAAACACACTGGGAAGAATTCCTAGTAACATATCATACAGACGTAATTAAGAAATTAGTTTTCCTGTTTCTGATTTTAGGGGAATACATTCTATTCCTAGGCTGAGTAAGTTCCCACCCATTTCTAGACCGTTGGCCATCTTTTCTCATTAACCCTGGGAGGGTGTTGGGTTTATTCAAATGCTCTCTTTGAATCTGTTGAAATGATTACGGTTTCTTTATGCCACCATGCTTCATTCCATTAAGATGATAAACCATCTTCCTAAACTGTACATCTCTTAGTCATGGCATATAATCCTTCTTAGAGAAACTCCTCAACTTCCCACAGGTTAATCTTGATAAATGTATCATAAATTGGAAGATCATTTAATACCCCTAACGGGACATCACAACTTGGCCTAATCTCCCTTAAACATGGCTCTAAATACTTACAATAACCTACAGTTGGGCAAAACCTTCTAACTCAAATTTATTTTGTAATAAAGTACTGACTAGCTCATGTAATGTACCGAATGCCTGTACACAAAATATGCTGGCAATGTAGTATAGAGGGCACTTGGGTGTCATCTCTTCCTGGAGCTGATATTAATTTCACACTGGCCCAACACCGTTCTCTGGCTTTAAAGTGCTCTTCCCACACCAAAGTGCTCCTCATGCTGGCTGAGAGCCTGGGTCCTCTTGAGGTGTCAAGGTTCCTAAGGGTGTGTTCTGCAGCTTCTTCATTAGGGCACCCTGATGCTCAGATTGTAGGGTCCCCCCAAAACCACCATGGAGTCCAAACTCATCTGCAAAAGCAAAGAGGCTTTATTCAAGCTCGAGTTTGGACCCTCCATGTGTCCCATGCAGCAGTAAGACCAGAAAGTGCCAAACCTGGGTGGGGTAAGTTGTTTTTGTTTTTTTGGTTTTTGTTTTTAAATCATAATAGAGGTTGGGGTGAGGGGATTTCTAAGGTTCAGGACCCCTAATTGGCTGACATTTGTCTAAGGATGTTTTGATGAAAGGTGATGGGTATGATCTGGTCTAAGGGACACCTGATCTCTGGTGATTCTACCTACAATGGTTGGAACATTCACATTTTCTTTGAAATATTAGGTATTTTCCCTTTGGATGCTGATTGGTCTGTTACTGGGGTGATGCCTGGGTGGTCTTTCCTGGAACCAGGTACAGCCTGAAACTTAGGCCTACTCTTTGACCTGGCTTCCATTGAGCCTGTCATGGCAGCAATATAGCCAAGCTGTCCTGTGCTCCACACCAAGCTGCCAAATGTGGCCACCATGTGGCTGAAACCACCAAATTCTGCTGCTTTCAGGGGCTGGAACTTGCTCCCTCTTTCAATTACATCTGCATCAGCCTTCTGTTGTTGATTTTCTTCATTGCTTAAGCCAGTGGTTCTCAACCTTCCTAATGTGACCCTTTGATATGGTTCCCCATAAAATTACTTTTGTTGCTATTACATAATTGCAATTTTGCTATTGTTATGAACTGTAATGTAAGTATCTGAGCTTTCCAATGGTCTTAGACCATGCATGTGAAAGTATCATTTGACCTCTAAAGGAGTTGTGACCCACAGGTTGAGAACCACAGGCTTAAGCTTTTCTTTAATCCCTTTTTACAATTTGGAAGCTTAGCTGGATGAGGTCTTGCCCTGAGGTCACCACTCCCTTTATTCCATCTAGCATCAGGCTTTTCTTTAACCTTTTTATCTCCTTGAGCACTGGCCTTGGCTCCATTACACTTCCTGGCTCTCACTTTTCCCCCCAAACTGTACATTTTTAAAATTTCAATTATAGAGCTGCATAAGACTGACCACTAATAATCATAAGACATAGACCACAGTAGGCTGCCTTGAGATCTCCTCTGCCAAGGCCATTAATCTAAAGTCTTTTCAATTTAGC